GAATAGAATAGAATAGAATAGAATAGAATAGAATAGAGCAGAGCAGAGCAGAGCAGAGCAGAGCAGAGCAGAACAGAACAGAACAGAATAGAATTCTTCATTGGCCAAATGTGATTAGGCACACAAGGAAATTGTCTCCTGTGCTTAAGCTCTCAGCGTACATACAAACAACAAAGTGGCAGGTCACAGACAGACTGTAAATCATAGTTATAGTCATAAGATACCAATAGGGAAGATAGTGGGAAAGATGAAGATGAGGAAAAATGAGAAATGAGAAAGATAAGAAGATGAGAAGGACAATAGTAATACAGTCCTACTTCATGGGTAAATATATTTAGCCCTTTGAACACCCTTGACTTGGACACTTGTCATGTAATATTCATATTGGTTATGTATAAAGAGCCACTTTGCACTAGAGACAGTGGGCAGATTTCAACCACTGATGGTAATGACCATAACAGCCATTCACTTTCCAGAGAAAACAGTAGTTCTGTGATTTTATCAATCACGTGAACCAATTATAATTCCTGGGATGTGGCAAGGGAAATCCAGACAGATCCATGCATCCCACCAAACTAAAACGATGAACCTCACTGGAAATCCTACTCTGTGCTTCTAACCTTGGGATACACAAAACATTGGCTTTTTGATAGCAGCATTCCTCAAGAAACATGATGTTGACTACTTCTGTACTTAACTTAGGTGGCTAGTTGTTGGTTCATATTTCAATGTTACTCTTGGTTTTTATTTTATAGTTTAGAATTCTGAATATCCTGGTCTGCCTGCCCCCCTTCTTCTTTCTCCTCTTCTCTCTGTCTCTCTGTCTCTCTGTCTCTGTCTGTCTGTCTCTCTCTGTGTGTGTCTCTCTCTCTCACACACACACACACATCTATCTTAAAATCTATATCACTATGAAGATCAATATGATGGAGTGCCAGGCAGATGTGGATCCTCGAGAGGGAGGGGCTGCATTCCAGAAGAGTAAGAGGCAACTCAATATCTTGTGTTAGAGAAAGAGGGTGAAGACAGCTCCTTCTTAACAGTTCTCAGATATATGTGTTAGATGCAGATAGTAGACCAAATAAATACCAGAAAACAGTCATGCTCAGTGTTCTCAAGACCAGAAAAACGTACGCATATGCTTCAAATAGGTTGGCCTTTCCCCCCATGTTTTAAGATCTGTCTCAGCTGCTGCCTCATTCCAGGTGGTTTTAATTTTTATACCCTAAAATGCTTAGCAACTGCCTACCTCAAAATCAGTTTGTCCCAAGCATTAAACCACAGGTGTCAAACTCGCTGTGTCATGTGATGTACCACAACATTTTTCCCTTCTCAGAGCTGGGGTGGACGTGGCCTGCGAGTGACGCATCCGGCCCACGGGCCTCAAGTTTGACACCCCTGCATTAAGCCATCCAAAGCATTGGTGAAATGCTACTGGTTCAGCCTGGTTCACCTGATCCGGTAGCAAAAATTGCTCAGCTGAGAGGAAAAAGGAGATAAAAGTGCAGGATTGGCCCTCCCATCTACCCCTGAGCTTTTCTGTTCTTTATCCTCTCAGCTGATTGGTACAGCAGAGTGTTTGGTGGTGTTTGGAAACTTGCGCATGCGTGTTAGGTGCACATGTGCAAAGTGTACAATCACCGAACCAGTAGGGAAACTGGTAGAATCCCACCACTGATCCAAAAGTATGTTAAAACATGCTCCTGATTTCACAGATTTGTGGACAAGGTTTTCAGCTGCAACTTATTTTCCTGGGAATTTTTGATGGAATGTAGTAAGGAGGTGGGATTCCATGAGGGAGGAGTTGCATTCCCGAAGAATAAGAGGCAACTCAGTTCAAATACCATGTGTGAGAGAAAGAGGATGAAGGCAGCTCTTTCCTAATCATCCACAGAGCATATTGTAGATGCAGATAGCAGAGTTCTCAGTCTGGCAAGATTCTGTCTACAGGTATTACAGCTTGGAAGAAACATCACCTTTCATTTTTGATTTTGGGCCTGAGGGAATTACTATCTGGCCCCCATCTGCTCCATCCTTATAATAATGACTCAAGATCTGGCTTCAGCCTGGCCTTCTCCATTATTACAGAAGGGACCTTGGAGGTCTTCTAGTCAAACCGCCTTCTCAAGCAGGAAACTCGGTACCATTTCAGACAAATGGCGATTCTCTATCGGTGATCTCTGTTCCTAATGTGATTAGACAAACTGAATTTCCAATTTATCCTCTTATTTTGAATTTTAAGTTCCCCTGGGAGCCCTGACAGACAACGTGGCATGGTGAGGGGGAAGAATGTGGAAAGATTAAGCATAACTGGAATAAATACTTCGGTGTAACTTCGATATTTGAATGAAATAGTTCATTTGCAGATGTGAACATGGCAGCATTCCAACAGGACTTTTTCCAGATGTTTATATTTATTGTCATACTGGATGATTAGTTCTCTTAGCTGCTGTCTAATGTTTATTAACAAGCTACTATACTTATACTAGAGATGCGGTGGCTAAGTTGGTGAGCTTGTCGATCAGAAAGGTCGGCAGTTCGGTGGCTTGAATCACTAGCGCCCCATAATGGAGTGAGCTCCCGTTACCTGTCTCAGCTTCTGCCAACCTAACAGTTTGAAAGCAGGTAAAAATGCAAGTAGAAAAATAGGGACCCCTTTGGTGGGAAGGGAACAGTGTTCCGTGCACCTTCGGCATTTAGTCATGCCGGCCACATGACCACGGAAACATCTTCGGACAGTGCTGGCTCTTCGGCTTTGTAACGGAATGCACACCACCCCCTAGAGCCAGAAAAAACGAGCACGTATGTGCGAGGGGAACCTTTATCTTACTCTATACTTATCCTACTCATCACTTTGTTTCATGGTAAGGCAAAAGAGCTGGGCTGCTGCTAAGTGAATCTAATCTTAATTAATCAGTGGAATAGCTTGCCTTCAAAAGTTGTGGGTGTTCCAACACTGGAGGTTTTTAAAAAGAGACGGGACAGCCACTTGTCTGAAATGGTATAGGGTTTCCTGCATGAGTAGGGACCCTCCAAGGTCCTTTCCAACTCAGTTATTCTATTAATCTCAGTGCTATCATGCTTGCTCCGCAACCTTCAGTTCATCATGTATTTCCTTAAGTAATTCATAGGCAGAGATTCACAACTTCTGCTTTCCTATTTGAAATCTATTGTTGTGAGCCGTTGCTCTTTCTGGAACTTCCGTTGCTGCTTTCTCATGTTCCCTGATTCCGCAAACAATATTTTCTGTTCCCAGAAATTCTGAATCCACTTCTGAAAGTGGATGTTGTTTTTCCCTTTCAGCAGGCCTCTTGTCAAAGAAGCAACAGAAAAATTGTGGGTTGCGGGCTCTCCTTCCTTCCTGATTCTGTACATCAACAACACACATGCAAAACAGCTTTTCTCATGACTCCACCACTCCTACCAGATTTTGACACGTGGTCAGGTTTGCTGTCTTCGGCTTGGGGACTTGCTGGCATGCTGCCCTCAAAGGGGGACATGTGGGGACATTGAGGGGGGGGGAATGAACAAATGGGCAATCAACCTGCATGTGTACCTGATGGGAAATTGGGGAGGGGGGAATGACAGCTTGATGAAGAGCAAGAGAGCTCAGAACCAGTTTGTGCTCACACCCAAGAAAGAATGAGAACTACCCTAAACATCTCAGCGTTCTCAAAACACCTAGGTGGATTCTTATTGACTAAAGACAGAGTGATAATGGAGGGAGGTGTGATGACCCAGAGCATGGCACAAAAGCAACAAAGTCACAAAAGTAGGTATAAAGACCCTTTAATTCCTCCAACTTGGCCCCCAATGTCCAATTATCATCAGCTGGAGAGAAAACTCTCCCAAGAACAATTTTTAAAGGGAAGAAATTCAGTCCAACCCCAAAGGACATATAAATTATAAATAAAAACCAAGACAAACCACATTGCAGCAATTAATGAGACACGGCAGGATTAGGAATTGCAGAATTCAAAAGATAATGAAACACACACAGTTGGGAGGATGCCAGAACCCAGATAAGACTAGAAAAGATAATGCATGCTTTGCTTCCAGCAAGGTGCTGTGCACAAACACCCTTTATATCCTGTTTTCCCTGCTGCAGCTAAAGAAGGGAATCAGGGCCCTTTTCTCCCTCATAACCTACATTGCTCCCATATCCGTTCCTCCCTGCGTGCCCTAGGATGAAGTGGGGGTGGGCCTGAGTCTTCCTCTGAATGCCCAGCAGACTATGCCCTTCCCCAGTTTCCTCCATAGCCACCGGAGTCACACTCCCACTCCCTGTCAGCTCGTTAATCTCCCCCTCGGAATCAGATTCCAACAGGGGCATGACAGGAGGGCTAGGATGCGGGGAAACTTTCTGTATCTTTTAAGTGTGGGAAATTTAGTTCTTGCCTGACTCTACTGCAACCAACATCTTTTAGTGAAAGAACCGATCACTTCAACCAAATGGAGTCAAAGGGTCTTTCTTTCCTAAGAGATCAGACTGGAGCAGGTCTGACACACATATTCCATGTTTACTACTGGATGAAAGCCACACTTAACCTTTGCATGAGACTAGGACACAAATGAAATGTGTTTTGATTTAAATGAAGCATACATAGAGCTTCCTTCAATACTCTTAAAATGAGGATCTCCAGATATTTAATAGTTTTGCTTCTTGCCTTAAACCTTACAATGAGCTGTAACTTTGGGAAGGATTTGTGGGTGGGAACAGGGGGGAGTGGAAGCATGATTGTGCACCTCTGAACTAACTTTTTTGGGAAGAGAGGATGGAGATCTATTCTGTGGGGTCCTTGGTGCTCTCTGAGCTTGGTGGTTTTCTTGCAGACATTTCATTACCGAGCTAGGTAACATCATCAGTGCCAACCCTGAGCTACAAATATTCTCTTTTATCAGAGACCCATTCCCTGGTACCCACATTTTTTTTTCCCACCACCACTTTCTCTTTCAATAAAGATGTTCTTACCTGGACTGTCTCAATGAAGACAGAAAAGGAGTTCCCTGCACAATCTCCAGCAAACAAGTAATGGCAGACTCCACTGAAGGTGAAATGTTTGTTGTCAAAGCTTTTGAAATGGGATTGACCGGTGACAGAACATTCTCCTGGAAAAGGAAATGCAAAGGCTTACTTGCAAACAGCAATAACACTTAGACTTACATACCACTTCACAATGTTTACAGCCCCCTCTAACCGGTTTACAGAGTCAGCTATCTTTTAGTGCAAACCCTCTGCTTAATCAGGAGATCCTAGACTTATGTCTAAGGAGGTTCTACAGGTCATGGTTGTCCCAAGGGTGCTTTTTTCAAGAGGCAACTAGACTTTGTTGGTTTTCTTTGAAGACATTTTGCTTCTCATCCAAGAAGCTTCTTCAGCTCCGACAGGATGGTGGGAGAATGGAAGGATTTACACTCCTTGCAGACTGCTGGTCATTTGCATCCTTTTAGAGGGGCGTTGAGGCCACTTGGAGATTCATCTGTGTCCTCGGGGTCATCTGAGTAGTGCAAATGGGTGTGGAGCCTTCTTGGAACTGCTGAAAGGACTGTTGTATGGCAAATCCATTTGCACCATTCACGTGACCCTTAGGACACAGATGAATCTCCAAGTGGCCTCAACAGCTCGCTAAAAGGATGCAAATGACCAGCAGTCTGCAAGGAGTGTAAATCCTTCCATTGCCCAGCATCCAGTCAGAGCTGAAGAAGCTTCTTGGATGAGAAGTGAAACATCTTCAAAGAAAAACAACGAAGTCCAGTTGCCTCTTGAAAAAAACACCTTTGGGACAACCATGACCTGGACAATCTCCATAGACATAAGTCCTGCTTGAGCAGAGGATTGGACTAAAAGATGCCTATGTGTTCCCTGATTAAAGTCCACCTCTCTCCAGGCATATTTGGGTGGCTAAATAAACAGAAAGAATTTTCAGGGAACTTTGTAACCTCTTGCAAAGGGGTCACAAATGACCTTTAGCGATCATAGTATCTTTCACCTTTATTTCCAATTCAGTAGAGCTTTTGGTTGGCTTCCAAGTAGGTTTGAATTCTTTTGGGCTGGTTTTTAATTAGTGTACTTTCTTTGTTCAGTCTGACCCTTCCCACTTCAAGGGGAATAGCAGCTTTCTGAGCTGCTATTGAGAAATATGTTTCAGCAAGGAGATTAACCAAGGAAAAGGCTAGCCAATGTTGTCTTACTCCACGGTGGGACTGTTCGTTCCAGTCATTATTTGGATTGTTTTAATTGTTGTAAATCTGTGGGCTGCCCAGAATCCCGAGATAGATAGTCGTATAAATTGAACAAATAAATAAATATCACCTTTGCTTCATTTTGTTTTAGCTTAAAAGTTCCTCAAATTTTCACAGAAAGAAAGAAAGAAAGAAAGAAAGAAAGAAAGAAAGAAAGAAAGAAAGACCCTATGCAGTTGTGAGTTGCTGATGATTTAGATCCAACACATTTGCTTCATGAATAAAATCACACAAAAGCTGCCCCCCAAACACCCTGGTGATGCTAAACTGTTATCTCTTGAAGAGTTTTTACAGAACAACAGGAAAACAGGGTTTGAAGGGAGATTGGAGGTCTTCTAGGCCAATTCCCTTCTCAAGCAGGAGACCTTTTCAGGCAAATAGATGTCCTATCCCTTCTTTAAAATCTTCAGTGATGGAAAACCCACAACTTCCAAAAGCAAACTATTCCACTGGTTAATTAAGCCCCGGTTTCTCTTTATGGCTCTAATTGTCTGCGGTTCCTTGAAAAAAGGGATGCCGGGGAATCAGACCCAACGTCTCCTAAGTAATGTGTATTTCGGACGAAAGGATTGACCTCAGGAGGAACAGATGGCGAGACGGTACTCTTACGATCCTTTCAGCCCTTCACGGAATCATCAGCTTTTGCTTCAAAAGCAGCCACTAATTTTGCCACAAAAACAATTCTGCCAGATGATAGGGGGTACAGTGGGGTGGGGTGGGGTGGAGAACAAGGAAGGAGTGCCCCATTTTTCATTCAGTTGGCCAGACTGTCTTCTTCCAGCTTCTGTTCATTTGACTCGCTGAGAGCATCTCTTGACTCTTTGTGGTGGAGCCTTTTTCAATTCTGTAAACAAACTGGGAGAGTTCCCACTTAGAATCATAGAATAACAGAGTTGGAAGGGACCTTGGAGGTCATCTAGTCCAACCCCCTGCTGGAGCAGGAGAGTCTATTCCAAATATTAGCCTCTGCCTAGGATCTAACTCACAGCCTCCCGATTGTGAGGTGAGTGCTCCACCAATCCTTTCTGCTGTTGGCGTGTGTGTGTGTGTGCCTGTGGGTGTTTGTGGGTGTGTCTTTGCTTGTGCTCACTCTGCCACAATTCCTCTGGGGTAGCAATTGCGTATCTCCTGCCAGATGGGTGTTGGAAGTTATGCAACTTCTGGAGCTGGGCCCCCTGAACCCCCAACAAAAATGAACTGGGACCAGTGCTGGACTGGAATTTGAAATAAACACAGAGGGAAGAAAAAACTTAAATGAAACCCAAAGAATTGAATAGCTAAGCTACCTTGACTGTGAAAACAGGAAAAAAAACAAATGACTTCTGGCAAGATTCCGAATGCATAGTTTGAGACAGAAGAAATAATATAATATAACTGAAGAATATATTAAAGAATATAACCGAAACCTATAATGGAAATAAACATCAAATCACTCATGGAATATTCCAGAACCAACATACCTGGACACGGCTCATTGTTGCAGACCCACGCTCCATGCCTGCAAATACTAGGAAATAAAACATTTCTCCGTGAAGGACAGAAGTGAATCATGTTCCTTATTATAAACATTCATTGCGTTAACAGTTCTCAATTACAGGTGGTCCTCAACTTACAGGAGTTCATTTGAAATTACAAGGGCACCGAAAGAAGTGTCTTATGACTGTTTTTCACATTTATGACCGTTTCAGCTCGCACACACGCACACACACACGGTCACGGGATTTACATTCAGATGTTTGGAGACTGGTTCATATTTATGATGGTTGCAATGTCCCAGGGGTCAGCTGATACACTTTTGAGATCTTCTGACCAGGAAAGTCAAGCGGGGAGCCAGATTCACTTAACGACCGTGTTGCTAATTTAACAACTGCATTGATTCAGTTTTTGGTGAGGCATAGAGTTAGAGAGTCGTTGGAATGTACTAACTCTTGCCATCCTGACTGCAGGGGTTTCTTCCCCAAAATTCAATAGGTAAATGAATATATAAATATATACCTATGTCTACAATCAATGTGTGGCTGTGAAAGCTGGACCACAAGGAAGGATGAGTGACAAAGAATGGAGGCCTTTGAACTCTGGTGCTGGAGAAGACTCCTGTGAGTCCCTTGGACTGCAAGGCGATCCAACCGGTCAGTCCTAGAGGAGACCAACCCTGACTGCTCTTTAGAAGGCCAGATCCTGAAGATGAAACTCAAATACTTTGGCTACCTCATGAGAAGGAAGGGAACTCACTGGAGAAGAATCTGTTCTGACCAAGCCTTCCTCAGACCATTATTAAGCACACGCTTAATCCAAACAACTCCTGCTTTATTTCAATGCTGGGAATTATTTTCATTCACAGCCAGTAATGAGTCCCAAACAATCCCTCGAGATAAGCACCCACCTTTCTCTCCTTTGAATTGCTACCAACAACTAAAGTGCCAAATTAAAAAACCAACTGAAGTACAAAGTCCACACAGAATTTCAAGGTTTAATTCTAACAGAGCGAACAAAGTTGCTTCCTGCAAAGGTTTCTCTACCTTTGCCTGTCCTTTATACCTTAGGGGAGGGGCAATCCTAGCCTTACTCCCGAGTTGCCCTTTTTGTCTTAGCTGCTGTTCCCTTCTAGCAGCTCTGTGCACACGCGTACTGGGAACAGGCTCCCCTTGGTCCTCTGCCTCGCTGCTGCCAGACTCCGAAGGCTCTGGAGTCAGCACACAATTCCCAGATGGTCCTGGCCCCATCTTCCCAGACTCCCGGACTGGTCCCTGTTCTTTCCCCCTGTCCAATTCCGCTGCCGTTTGCACAGGCTGAGGGTGAACTACAACAGAACCTAATGCTGGGAACGATTGAGGGCAAAAGAAGAATGGGATGACAGAGAAGGAGGTGGCTGGATGGAGTCACTGAAGCAGTTGGTGTGAGCTTAAATAGACTCCGGAGGATGGTAGAGGACAGGAAGGCCTGGAGGAATGTTGTCCATGGGGTCGCGATGGGTCGGACACAACTTTGCAACTAACAACATCTGCAAGAAAACTTATTAAGCTCAGAGAGCTCTAAGGACCCTGCAGGATTAGTCTCTTCTCCCCTCGCTCTGGCACAGATCTGGTTTGCTCTATTTTGTTTCTATGGGTGAAAAAAAAAACATTGAGAAACCCAATCACTAAACCCCCACAAGATGTGGGAAAGTCCATTCTGACCCGCGGGTGTCAGAATATCACTATAAAATTAAAATATTGTTGGAAGAAATATCCATGTGGTTCAGTTCCTAGCTGGGAGAAAAGCCCTGGAGACAAAATGGAGGCTGGAGGCTGATTAGAAAGATGGTTTAATGATGAAGCAGAACCACTAAGGACACGTGATTCTGGGTAGCTGACCACATGGAGTTTAGAGTGGGAGGGATATTTATACCTTCTCTTGGGCTTTGCACTTGAGCTTTCTGTTCCTGTGCAAGAACATGTCTTCTATTGTCTGTTGTCAGACTCCCATGGGGCCATGTAGAAATCTTAGGAGTTTGTCTGAGCTAAGTTTGGTTGACGTTTCTGAGGGGGATGCAATGAAGGGGCATTGGGCAATTCCTATTATGGCTGAGGGCTAATCCTACCTTTGTTGGATCTTGGGTGAGGGTATTTGCTTATGAATACAGCTATCTATCTTTTTATCTTTTTAGTGCTGACGTCTGCTGAGTGCTATTAAGGAAGGTGGGGGCTGCTTTCTCCCTCCAGGGAAATATAATATTTTGCCTTTTTAATATTTCCTAAAATGTTTCATTCTTCTAGGAGATGGGTGGATGGTGCTAACTTTCTACAATACAATAAGTCTACTGTTGGTCTTTACATTTCAGTGCTTTAAGTTTCACAGATCAAAGGATGGTTTGGTTTTGGCCTTGTTCTCTTGCTGGAGAATATTGACGTGCTTATGAAAGAGGCCCCTTTCTTGATCCCTGTAAACTGCTCGATGTTTAGCACTGGCCCCAGTGTCTGCTCCAGGGCTTGTCCAAAATGGAGCAGCTGGGGAAGGTCCTCTCAAAAACCAGCAACCGAAATGAAATTAAAAGTTGAACATGTTTAATTAATAACTTCTACCTGTTGTTTATTTGCACTGTATTGCATTTCGTTCAGCTGCATTGCATTGCATTCATTAGATTAGATTAGATTAGATTAGATTAACAGAGTTGGAAGTGACCTTATCGGTCATCTAATCCAACACCCACCCACCCTGCCAATTGCAGCGTGTTGCATTGCATTGCATTCAGCTGCATTTCATTTCATTGTGTTGCATTGCATTTAATTGCATTGTGTTGCATTGCATTTGATTGCATTGTGTTGCGTTGCATTTAATTGCATTGTGTTGTGTTGCATTTAATTGCTTGTGTTGCGTTGCATTTTATTGCATTGTGTTGCATTGCATTTAATTGTATTGTGTTGCATTGCATTGTCTTGCATTGCCTTAACCCTTGTATGTTTGGATCACCCTGATTTCAATTATCTGCATTTCATTACAGTACCTGTTAAACAATGGGGGGGGGGGATATCCCAGTATTTTAATCAGGAGCTATTTAAAGAAGAAACCCCACCTCCCAACCAAGGCATTGAGACTATCAGAGCAAGCTACGACGGATAAACAGGCCCCTCCTTTGCACGAATGGTGCCACCTAAACTGGTCATGAAACCCTGGCAAGAAAAACAACCAGGCTCAGAGAATGCCAAGATGCCAACAGACCAGAAATCCTGTCTTCCTAAATCATGGGCATTTCACATCACCAACTCAATGCCCTCCCCCTTATTCTCAATCCCTTGGCAACCCACAATCGTTGTGATTTCTGCCAACCTGAAAATGCAAGCGGACAAAGAGCTATTCATATCGCCCCTCCTTCCCCTCCAGCTGACCAATCCACTAGCCCACCTCTTTTTCTCACATCTTCTCAGCTCTGCAAAAGGAAGCACTTTCCCTCCCCTGCAGCTCACATCAAAGGGAAGTAGACTAGAAACAATGGTGTCAACAAGAGTCACGCAATGTGACATCGTAGGGGGCTCAGTCTCACTTGCTAAGGGGTATGAATGATGCAAATTGCATGATGACACCAGGGCAGGGTGATGTCATTCCTGTTTGTGCAAGGCAGCTATGTGTGCTTTTGTTGTAGAAAGAAAAAAAACGGTGAATGTCACTCATGCAGTTTGGAAACAGGAGATGAAATAGATCCGTAAGGGACAGATAGTCCTTCTCTCTTTATTTCTGACATTGTGGCATTCTGGCTCCAAAGTGAGATATCTAAAGTTCCAGGTGGAACAATGTTGTCACTCTCCTGCCCCTGCAGGTGAGCTTTCTGGGTGCACTTTGGGGCACCATCTTGCCCAGAACACTGTCCCTGACTTGGTCTCGCCTTATGGTTTATAGGATCCTCTTCATATTCCATCCAAGGATCATGCTTACCATGAGTTGCAGTCCTGATAAACTGAAGAGCCAGGAGGGAATTTCTTGCCAGAATTTATACAGGAGCAATTTTGGGCATCTACGCAAACGTCACCATCTAGGAGCTTTCCCTCTGGAAAGGGAAGGGAAGGAAAGGGAAAGAGAGAGGGAGAGGGAAGGGGAAGGGGAAGAGAAGAGAAGAGAAGAGAAGAGAAGAGAAGAGAAGAGAAGAGA